CGCGGAGAAAGCAGTTGCTCTGCCTGCCTGGCTTCTTTTAGACCAGACATCGGCGAAATTACGTGGCAGCAAATGCTTTTTTTGCGGATAATCCGTGGAGGAGCCGGGCTCCCGCGCCCGGTGCGCAGCAGAGCTCCGTGCCCACGCGTGAGGCTGGCGGTAACATCTTACAGCTGCTCCCGCCGCCGGCGGAACGAACGCGCCTGGTCCGGGCGAGTCTGGCGAGGGCCGGGATCCGCCACATTCGAGCTGGCTTGGTGCTGGCACCGCGCTCCTCAGGGTTTTCGTTTCACAGCTTCGCACAAGCCTTCAGCAGGCACCAGAACCGTCGGTAACACTGCCATGAAAGCCCCAGAGGCATCCTTCGCTTTCTTCTGAATGAGAAGTGCGGTGTATCCTCTACAACATAGACAGAGGTATATCACCTCTGTAATACGCAAAAATCTGTTTGTTTTGGGAGGGTTTTTTTTTGTTTGCCTTTTTTGTTTTGTTTTGTTTGGGGTTTTTTTACTTTTTAGGATTTACATGCCAGTTTAACGTGACGTAACTTCATGGTACATTTGTGTCCACCAGGACTTTGGTGGAGCATTTCTTGCACGGTGCAGACATCTAAAAGCTGAAATTACTGTGAGCGCAATGGTTTTTACCTTGTGAAATGGGACGACAACTGCTCACAGCCCAGCTTCTAAAGGCAGAGCAATATAAAGACAACAGACTGTAGCTGAGACTTACCCTTACCATCATCCCAAGGAGGAAAGGTGGAGGTTTTTCTCCACGCACTTCTATAACCGTGTTGCACCCTACAGCTGTCGATGGGGCTGGGCCCAGCCAGTTTTCCTGAAGCTTTTGCACCACCATCCCAACTTCGTGCTGCAGAGCCTTCCCTGCCCGTTACACACACGTTCATGCTTACAAAGGCCCCTCTCAGCCCCTGCAGCTCCTTGGCTTCCATTGCGGAACGGATCACATGTAGGTTTGACAAAGAGCTTTAATTCCATGCAGCGGAGGCATTTGTAGATCAACAGGTACTTCGTTTGATCCTGATGGTGATGAGGCATCACAAGCAGTTGTCCATACAAGAAGCTTTTATCACACCTTAAAACGATCCTGTCACTCACTGCTCTTTGATCAGATAGATCTGCCTCCTGGCAGAGTGCTGAAATAGGTAACAGGCATGCATCGCTACCTGAACCTTTTCTCTTCAGTTCCTGCAGAGCAGAAGCAGCATGCCAAAATAGACTCCAATGGCTCATTACAATACATTTATTGCATTAAAGTTCGATTAGCAAGTGTCACTTAAGATTTACATGGGGAGGGGAGGGAGGGTTGGAGGGGAGTTGAGAGTACAAATCCTTCTGTTAGATAAACAGAGATGCCAGCAAATCAAATCTTCATAGGCACATCCTTATTCCTTTGATTTTTCTTAACAGACTCAGGTAGTCACGTTCTTCAGGAACAAAAATTAATGTCACCTCTTTGACTTGAGTGAAGCTATAAATACTGATTTACATAAGCTGATGATTTGGTCCCTACTGTAGAAAACCTTTCCCATTCTGTGTTTCACTCAAACAACTAAACATATCAGCAATAAAATTTAAAAAAAACCCAACAACAAAACAAAAACAAAAGAACAAACCCACAATGCAGTAAAATAAAGATTTCTAACTTGGATACTACCACAACATGAACACTTAAGAACACAGACACCACCATAAACATCAGAAAAAAATCTGAGGTGACAGCTGAGGGCAGATGCATGATCTTCACGAGACACACCTCAAGTTCTGAACACTTAATTCCACAACAACGACTGCAGCCTCAACAACTGGTTTTGTTTAAGATTTGAAGTGTTATGTGATTTTTAGATTAGATGCCAATTTAGGTATAAATTGCACTGATACATGGTGGTTCAGGCATTTTATGGCCACATGTAAGTAGTGAACCTCAGGCTCCTATACTACCAGAAATTCTCCAACAGTTCATTTGCATGTATTTTTGCTATTAGTAACTCTTCAAGGGTGAAGAGAGCAGCAAAGGAATGCTTTTGTGTCAATGTAGAAAACATGTATGTGCTTAAAAGCAAACGTGTGATAAGTACCAATAGTCCTTGGTGCTCTTATGGAGAGGGAAACATGCAATGAGATATTAACTAGTGAGAGAGAAGTGCGTAGCTGCTGCCTGCCGTTGTAGTAGCACCCATGATTTTGCACACCGAAGTGGAGCTTTTTGAGTCCCCTTCAAAAGATCCCAGTCACCCATAGTTGTCATTCGCTCGATGTGCAGTCAGCACAGCCCAGCGTTACAAGCTGTCCTACACGTGATGCCAAAATGCTGGGTGGCCATGAAGCAGAGGCGACAGACAACACTGGCAACAGCAAGTTAGTCATGATTTATACCTGAAAAAAACACATGAAACTATGAAATAACTCAGTAACGAAGCCACAAGGTGTCAGCACTGGCCTGCGTATTTAGAAAATAACTCGATCCCTACCTGAGAGACTTTTTGTTTAACTTGTGTCACTGAACATTTGTGAACGTTCAGTTGAGGTTAATCTCACTTTATTAACTCACCTCAGTTTAATGACAAAGTAATATCCTCTTCAGATGAATGAAAAATACTCAACATAAACTACTATAATTTCAATAGTAGCAGGACGAAAGGAAAAAAAAAAGTAATCTTTAAAGATCATCATTAAGATATAAACTGTGTATTTTTAGGTCATCGGCACATACCTTTGTATTTTGGGCTAAAGAAAAAAATTAATCTTTTATGCAGATCAACCGCTAAGAAAATGTGACTCCGAATTAAACATCATTTACAAAATAGTGCTAAAAAGAAAATGAAAACCAGTTCTTGGGATCACCAACTCTGGTTGTACCCAGTGATTATAACAGTGACTGACTTCACTGCAGAAACAACTTTGTTCACTATCTCAGTTGAAATATCTGGTTTCATCAGCAGCGTTGAGTAATTCACACAGCAGACCACGAATCGTGTTCATTTAACACGGGGAATGAAATGCATGGTCATAAGGCAGAGCAGTCAATAGCACCAACACAAAGATGTTCACTCAGTGGGCCACCATGCAAAACACAGCACCAGTCAGGCCTTGGGATGAATAAAATCCAGAGCACTGTCTTGCAGGGCTAGCCCACATGGCAGCTACGTCCAGGGAACAAGAGTTGGATAGACAGAGATCTCAGGAGCAGAAAAGTATTTCGGCCTCGTCAGGCTTGTGACAAAACACCTTACCAATCTGTCAAACATTACATAGCACAAGACAAGCAGAATATAATTTAAGACCCTCTATTGAGTATATTTAAGATCTCTACTGATCACGATCACTTGGATAGTGCACAAGCAGCCGACACACACCAGATCCATCCTCTCTTGCAGCCTGCAACTACAGGGTAGCAATGCTACCAACACAAAAACCAGAGCACACCGTGTAAAAGCAATACATTTCTTGGTGCCTCGAGCCAACTCTTCTTCTCAGTCCACCAGCAAGGAGCTAAAATACCTGCCCAAACCTTAGAGATGTCAGAAATTGAAGCATCCCTGTTTGAGAGATTTCTACAGCTGCTTTTCTTTGCTGAGTATTATGGGAGTTCTTCCCCTCCGTTCCCAATCTGTAATATAATTTCATCATCATCTTTTCTACAAAGCCTGTTCTGGCTGCCTCAGGAGCTGCTGGCCAAGCAATGGGGCAGCAATGACAGTAGATAAACACCCAAGTGTGTAATATTCGCTACTTCATTATAGTTGCATCAAATAGGTTACAAAAACACATCATAGAGGTCACCATAGGAACCTCTACGTCCTACTTACTTATAGTAAATGACAATTGGGTTAATACTTTGTTAAAATATGAATGATTACATTTATTTACAGCTTCACTGTGATTCTGATGGTGAAAAAGAAAAAAAAATATTCCCCTACATCTGTTAATTTTCTACTCTGACTAGCCTTACTGACTTAAGTGGAATTACTCAGGGTAATAAATTCAAGCCCCTGTCACAGGAAGGAATTGTTAACACAGGGCAGCAGCAGAGATGCCTTTAGCCTCACCGAAACCCTTTTTTCCCCTCTTATAAATGCGACACCACACATTTTCTTAGACTAAAAAGGCATTTATTGTAACAGGTTTATAAATATTGTTGTCTGTCACTGTCCAACAGCTAACAAGGCTCACTTGAACACCAACATTTAGTATAAAACGGACATTACAAAGCAGTATTTTAGGGCATGCACTGACAGTAAAGTAGTTCTGTAGGTCACCATAATTCCATTATGTATTCATTCAGTGTTATTTTTCTGAAAAGGCTAGTGCATCAACACAAAGAAGTTTGGTGATTACTTCCAGACTACAAAACCCCAGTTCTGCACTTCTACCCAACCAAATGCTCGCTGGCTTGACATGGATCCCGAGTACTGGCATACAGAACAGAGCCTAGCATAAAAAAATGCAGAACACCACTTAGCACTATAGTTGCAAGTTGCTTATTTGTATGTTTTATCTATATATTAGTCTTGAGAATGCTGAACAAAGTCAAAAGGCAGAGATGACCTTTCAGGTTCAACCATTACGCTTCATGTAATATAAAACAAAGTGCAAGAGTTAACATAGCTACGACAGCCTGCTTACTTGTGAAGAGGTTGAAGCAAACCAGACATCAGGATATATTAATCAGAAATACCAAGGCATACCAAGCATCTGTTTTAACCTAAACAGAACACATGATGCTTCAAATATGCTAACAAAAATATATCTGCCTACATAAAGGTTGCAGATATCACACACAAATATCAGGGTCCCACCATTTCACTTTTCTAACTAGTTAATAGGTTTGGAATTTCATCTTTGACTATCTGTGTCAAGACTTGAATGACACTTCCAGTTTTAGAGAAAATCTGTTGTGGTAATTGTTTCTATTATAATTTTTACCTCTGGTTTCATATCACCAGCTGTGAAAAACTGAAAAAGAAATCATTTCTTTACATGTGAGCAGTGCAATATATCAGAAGCAGATATCATATTCTCTACTTAAATAATGAGATTTTTTCCTCCTAGATTTAGACATGGCATCTGTGCGTCCCTTCCTATTATCCTAATACTCTATATGACAGTATTTTCTTGATTTATTGAACTCATCCTCGTTTCATCTTATTTGGAAAAAATGTAAATAATACTGTAAAAACACTAATGTGAGGCTAATTTTTATACCAAAGAAGGTGAAAAAAAGGTTAGTATATAAAAACTGCAAACATAATACCCTAGCATGTAACACCTCGGGTTTCTATATATTCTTCTGGACCTCTCTGCCCCACGAAAAAAATCAGCTAGGAGTCAGGGAACATGTAGGATTCTGTGTTTTGTCTTCTTTTATCTGCAAAGCAGAGTTTACCATTTTGTTTTTAAACTCTCTTGTGTAATTCTCAGACTTACACATGCACACAAAAAATATCTTCAGCAAATTTACATCGTGTAAATATTAATTCTGGGAAGAATATTTTTCATTAATCTAAACTTTGCAGATAACTGTTGTGAAAAATCAGCAAGAATATTTTTACTCCTTGGCACACAACCTAAGTGAATTGTTCCTTTATTTATTCTTCTACTATTACCATCTTTCGAAATTGAACTGCACAATGTCAAGCTTAAGAGAGAGATGTGAAACTAAATTGTGCAACAAGCTGCAATCACTAGTTGCCATAAAATGTTCACTGCCCTCAGTGGGCATTAGAGCTATAAAAGGCTGGCAGCTGCTCGGCACTTCTGAAAAATCCAATTACTTCTTTAAAAATGTAAACATGAATTTGAGCAAGTATCAATTAGAAACAGCGCAGAAAAGTACTG